TTCTCTCTTCTCTCTCTCTCTCTCTCTCTCTCTCTCTTTCTCTCATACACACACAACAATGTTGCGCGTTATTAATCGCTTCAGCGAGCTCGACGAAGACGCGATTTATGCTCGCGAGTTCTCAAACACCTTTACATTCCAACTCTGCCTCGATTCGGATCGTTACTTTAAAGAGCATTATTTGTATATATAGGTATATATATATATATTATATTATATATATATATATATATATATATATATATGTATATATGCATATACATAAACTTGCATCGTTGCGTATCTTTACGCCCAGTGCGCAAGTTTAATGATAATTTATTGTTTTGTATTTTAGAGTATAGGAAAAAACAAACTTACTAATGCATTATTAATTATATTAAATACGCATTGTAGCCCCTTTTTTATGCAGTATGTGTCCGTGAAATACTGGAAATGCAACAACCTAATGTCGGAGCGTGTGAACGAAGTATTTACTTTCAGGGTGTTAGGGTTTCCGTTTATTTCCTTTCGTTGATAAAAAATGCACGCTCGACATAAAAAAAAAATATATATATATATATATATATATATATATGTATATATGTATGTATGTATGTATACTCGGATCTTTCTCATTAACAAGAAGTTTAATAACGTGACAGACTCTTACTACGCGTATACTTTACAGTGCTGAAAATGCTGTCTTCTGTGTCTCGTACAAATTCGACATGGCAGCAAATAGAGTAGACGTTTTCTTTTTTCATAGTTTACTGACAGTGAGATTTGTTTTCCCTGGAGAATGTTCAATGCGCGAAAGCAGATGAAAATGAAAACACAAGAGCTCTCGAACCTTTGCAGAAGAGACATTTGCGAAATGTATAATTATACTATAAATCTAGCATACGGTAAGAATTAATTGATCATGGACAGAATTAAGATAGGACCCTACTCTCGTTGTTAGTAATTTACAGAATCACGTATCACGTGGTGTGAGCTGAAGGGTCCGATAGATTTGTAAATTACACAAGGCAAACATTCGCAAGTGCTCAGCTTATTTTCTAAATTTACATGTTATTATATATTTAAAAATATATATATCCACAAAAACGTATATATATATATTTTTAGGATTGTTAATTATTACTCTATTTGTTAACTATTTCTACTTGTAAAAATCTGATTACTAACACAATTTACACGTGATAGTCGAATTTTAATGGTTTTATATCGACATTATGTTGAATCAGTTCTTCGTTTTGGGAAAATTTTTAGATATGTAATATTGTATAATAATGATTTGTTTATTTAATATATAAATGTTTATAATATAAACTTTATATGTATCCATACTTTTAATCCATTTGTGAAGTTTTAACGATTACATTGTCGGATTAAATATAACAAAATAATTATGTTGTAAAAATGTTAGGAGCGTTCAGATGTAAAGCTATTTTTTATTTTTAACAACGTGAAATAATGTTTAATTTTGCGAATATTGTATAAATACTAGATTTTTCGGACTCTTTCAGCTCCAATCATTGATACACTTTACTCTACTACTTTAGAAATAGTAAGGGAATGATCATACTTACTTCAATAATATAAATTATGATAATATTATTGTATATTATTAAACATATTTCTATTTTTGCGTGAATGCCTACGATTGTTAGTTGTTGGTTATTGTTATCTACTTGATGAGAGTTTTTAATGTTATGCGTACCGTGAAAAACAAACACAATATTAAATTCATAATTTTTTTTATAACATACTGGAGTTGCTATTCATTTCAGATGCCTGTTTTAGCATTTTTGAGCATTCAGGGAAGACGATTTATTTATAACGCGGACGCAGAAGCAATATAAGAATATGTAAATTGACTTGATTTTCGAATTGTATCGCGATTCAAGTCATTTTGATTTATTGGATAGGAGCGCAGATTAACGCGAGATAATCTTATTATTTGAAATTGTACAATTGTTATTTCAACACGTTACTTTAAATCGACGAAGCACCTGACCAAAATTACCTCTGAACAATCGCGCAACTAGCGATCACCTCTTCAAATTCCTCACAAAATATAAACAATGCTATAAGTGACCATTAGGATTGGTGGGCGCGAATGCTACCTGTGAATGAAGTTTCATATAAATATATAAATGTTAAAAAACGGAAATATCTATACATATATATAAAATAATATATGAATATATATAAACCGAATTCTTTTACAAATACAAATACAACAACCTCAGTAGTGATCAGGAAAGCGTTTACAAAGGTAGTGACAGATTAATGAACTGCGATCAGATACATTATATAAGGTAAGAGGATTTACAAGAGTGGTCTTTGGAATGCCGTGATGATTACTAAAGCATAAATAACACACTGAGCTTCTTGCGTGAAGCACCGTTTTGGGAATACTGGATCGTGTACCGAATATACTTTAATATAAACTTAAATGCTTTTGCCATACTTCTTTGAAGTATCATTGAAATGGTACGATGCTCAAATTGTGTGTAGTAACAGTTTTATCTAGTAACAGTGTTCTAGAGAGTGGAAGAATCGGGTGCGCTGCAATCTTTCTGTGTACGATCGAACAATAGATATATATTTTACTTCTGTATCTATTGTACTTTTCGCTTTTCTTTGTCTTGTACTTATGCGAATTCTGGATACATTGTCCTCCCCTTCTTGCATGTTGTTTTTCTCTTTCCTCTCGAGGACTTTTTATAACATCTGACTAACATGTTTATGATTTGTATGTAAAATTTTAGCGCGTTGAAATATCTTTTGTCGCTTGGGTATTGTGAGCGAAACGAAAGTGTATCTTTCCAGCATACCGAAACTCTTTTACGCACCCATTCTACATAGATCAGTACAAATAAGTTTAATAAATAAATAATAACGATAATAGTAATAATTAAAATAATAATGATAATAGTAATAATAATAACACAATACCGATAACGTTAATAATATATCGTTTACTCTTGTCGAACGCGTAAGGTATACCCAACTTAACAAATAGTAGCAGGTGTCCTACTAAATACCGTACCTTTTAAAGAGCTAAACTGTAAGCCAGTATGTTACATCTATGTATAAACGTCGTACAATTTACGTATGGGCAATCTCTAATTAAGAACGTTAATAAGTTAACTCGTATGACTGCCATTACGATCAAATATTATTTCGAATATTACCGTAATTGCGATATTTCGAACTTGATCGTTTTATTTCTTCTGGTTTGCAGAAGAGAGAGAGAGAACACACATTTACGCATAATACAAAACGTTCATTCAGTTTCACGCTAATTAGATTCATAATTACAAAGTAACGAGTACTTCAATATTTAAATAACGCTGTAGAGAATTTCGATTATATAAAACTGATTGGATATTCGTAAACTAATTGTATGTCAATCAATGTTGAATGTAACATTTCACTTTAATCATTAATCGGTGACACATACGAATGCCTATGAATATCGCGCTTCATTCTTTCATACGATAAATCCGTAAGTGCTCTACTTCGCAGATTTTTAAAGCACCACAATTTTCGATGTCTCACATTTCAGTTTCGATGAAACGGGACACTCCGTGTCCACTAGTGTATTGTACGATACTCTGTCGCAAATCAATATTAATTTATTTCACTGGCTTTAATAACCAACGACACTATATATGGTTGTGCTCCGCGTAGATAGCAAAGCAATATAATTATACATATATGTACATGAGCATATTATGTATGTACATCCCTCAAGAGTCTATCTCTATCTTTTTAAGCTGTAAGTTATGATTTCGTTAGTGGGACACACATTTTTTTTTTTTTCTTTTCAACTTGCGCATCCATCGTAGATTGTGAAAAAAATCTGTCTACATACTTATACTATTTACTACTATTAAATTAAATACGCTTTTGTAAATGTAAACACATTCACCTTTTTTTTTCGAATAACGGAACATGTGCAAAGTATCACGTACGGAGGCGTTGAGTTCTCAGGTGAGGAGAGCAAATGTTTTAGAAAGAGTAAGAGTAATATATTCACTGAAAGCGAGATGAGGGTATATAAAATAATTATGTAGAAACAAGAGAACCAGATGTAGAAGAGGCAAGCGAGCGAGAGATAGATAGATAGAGAGAGAGAGAGAGTGAGAGAGAGAGAGAGAGAGAGAGAGAGAGATTGAGAATAAGAGAGGGTGAAAAATTATTGATGGCAAAAATGTGCAAAAACAAGGGAGTGATGCTATGAGTGTACTTGTACAACAGTATGGCTAGTAACAATCCCTGAGTAAAGAAATATAATGTACGGTTTCGCGCCAAGAGATAGATCGTCTATATATTCTGACTTATCTAAATATAATATTTTTATGAAGTGAAGACTGTTGTTTATACCGTTTATCAACCCCCTGCAAATCTTTACTCACATTACACAATAAGCAAAATGTTGGCCATGTTAGCAGATTGACAACGAATTTCATCAAATTTGCTTTCAATTTATCCACCACATTGCTAACGTTTGGCTATCCTAGCACTTAATGAAGATTAATAATTCAAAGACGTTAAATTTTGTCCTGTAGTATATTTATTATTGTATTGCATTAGAGGCAGACAAGTTTTGTGCATCATATTTTCGCTTATGAAGCAGTAAAAGTTTTCGATTTATAATGAAGAGAAATGTACAATGATTCTTTATGCACACGTGTGTAAATGCAGCACGCGATAAATATATACATAGCTGTTTTCTTACCATTGAACAAGAGAAATAAAGCAAAAATAATAAATTATAATACAATATTTTCCGGAATATAATCGGCTACATTTCGTAAAAAAATCTATATATATAGTTAATTCGAAGATTTATATATATATGAGCTTATATAAATTACATATGTCACATTCATAATTACAAGGAATAATTAAGGGTGAGGAAAGATATAAATAAATAAAAACTTCGAAAATAATAGAAATAAAAATTATGGAAAAATTTTTATTTATGACGAACATATATTGAATATGTTTCAGAAACTGTTGATTACTGACATTGCTCATATTAATACAATAAAACGTAATGTAAATGTTACATCACAGATGTAGGTCCATCAAGTGCTTTCCCCATCTTTCATTTTTTCGATATAAATATTGTTTAATATAATAAGACACAAATTAAAATAATGGTTTTTTTTTTGTTATATTAAACATTATTTATATCGAAAAAATGGAAGAACTTGCATATTGCACTTGACATACCTACACATGATGTAACGTTTACAATTATTGTGTTAATATTCAGTAATCAACAATAGAATATAACAATTGTTCATTGAGCTGTTGTTATCGGAGAATTTATTTAATCTGTCATAAACTGAAGGCGGAAGTAGAACTGTTTGCTTCGTATTTTGAACTAAATTTCACAGCTTTGCAGCATGTGTGCAGTCTTGAATCCAGTTTTATCTAAAAAGTACGTACAAAAATGTATAAGATTTATCACATGATTGTATGTAGAAATAAAGAATTTGATTATAATTAAACATGTTTGGTTGATATTAGACGCTGTGCTTTTAAAAACATCTCACAGCGAGAATCTGATTCCCAATTTGATCTAACATGTTTGTGCAGTGGCAAACACAAATCACATGTGCTGGTCACGAATAAACATGTATAACTTAAATAGCTTAAGTAATGAACTTGTAATATTGATGCGATAGAATGACTAATAAATAAGAGTATGACTTACAAAATTCATCCATAATTTTTCGATTATCTAAAAATTATTTAGAACTTCTCTTCTTCAAGACCATGCTTGAAGAACATTAGTACAGGCACGGAATTGCCGTCGATCTCACGGTACTCCATGAGACCTACAATTCCGTCGATATCCATGGAGACTCCGGTAAAAAATTGTAATTCCTTAAAACGGCTCAAGATATCTTTCATAACTTTGTTCATGTTTGTTTTGAATATTTCAACTTGATCTGGCGACTTTTCTTCCAACCTGGCTACTAACCTGTAAAAAAAGATTGCAAATATATTTTCACATTTATGATAACTTATACAAATAAATTAAAAATGTTTTATTCTTTCATTATCCTTTTTTTATAAAGAATCATTGTGTGTGTTGTGTGTAGTAGTTTCTTAGAAATTTTTATTATATAGGGTCTTGTTGAGTCACAATGAGTTACGATGATTCATCATTCTTAAAGTCATTAGTAAAGTAAAACAAACTTCAATGGTTTCTTAGTCATTTTCTAGTTTTTACAATAACTTGTACAAACATGTTAAACAGGGTGTCTGAGATCACCTCTTTATAACGGAAGGAAGTGGTTTTCATTAAAAATCCGAAAAATTCTAATAAGTAAATCGGGTACACTCTATGGAATGGTAATTTTCAATTTCCGGTTTCAACTGGAAGTAGGCTATCCAGACCGGAAAGTCGATTTTTTTTAATGACACGTGGTATTTTCTATCGTAGATTCGAATTCTACGTGAAAAAAATACGAAACTATTGTCCGAAACATTTTAGTTGGAAATGCCTCCGTTGATCTTGAAATGATCTCGAAAGTACACGTGACGAAGAAATACACTTTAATAACTGAGACGAAACAACAAAATCAGTGACGAGGATAGAAAATAATCGATTATCCCACAAACAAATGTAAATAAATAAGAAAATTAGAAGGCCAACAGTTTCGTATTTTTTCACGTAGAATTCGAATTATAATGCAACAGAAAATGCCATGTGCCATTTAAAAAATCGACTTCCAGTCTAGAGAGCCTACTTTCGGTTAAAACCGGAAGTTGAAAATATCATCATTTGATAGAGCGTATCTGATTTACTTATTAGAATTTTTCAGGTTTTTGATGAAAACCACTTCCCTCCGTTGTAAAAGGGATGTGGTGGGTCTCAGACACCCTGTATAATATTTCTTATATAAATCTGGCATCATAAAAAAGTTAATTGAAGCTAATATTGTATTCATGTAGATACTCACTTTTTCATATAATCCTTCAGATATAATGTATAGGATTTTTTGTCTCCAAAAGCAAACGTCTCTTGTAGTCGATGATTCAATACTACATCGACGCCGCTCTCTACTACTTCGTTTGTGCCTTCATCAGCCTCCTCTGCCGATGGATTGAATCCAGCTATTTCAACATCACCCAATTTACGGGACACTAACTGAAAAACAATTATAACAATAAATTATAATATAGCTTTACATACAAGCTTAAAGCACTTTATAAATAATATATTACATACTCTGCCATACACTTCATAAATAACGTCATCCACGAGTTTAACTTTGTAGGTATCAGAAAACATTTCGTCACCTAAAAATATATAAAATATATTATCATCTCATAAATTAACATGCTGTACACATCAACACATTCTATGCCAAGCCGTTTTTGCACGATTATCAATGACTCATGCTGGTGCGTTTATTATTTGAGCTCAAAACGTATATATTATAATTAATTTAAGATTGATGTATTATCAAAATAGTATAGAACAAAAGAAATACGTGAAATGTTTTACGATTGTATTTGTTTATATTTAACATTAAACGGTCTCAATAGAAAGTTCAGCATAGGTCATCGGTGATATACGTGGCACGAAATGTGTTAATTTATTTGGATTCTAGAAAGAGCTCAAGATTTTGTAATAAGAAATGAGCACGTTGTTCTTAATGTACAATCATAAGCACATTAAGAACATATGGAGGTTAGAACACAATCATAAATCTCATCTATAAAAGAATTCGAATCCACATAGCATAATACTACTGTTAATTTGTCGTGCAATATATTGGAGTCTCCGAATTTAATCTTCCCAGAATACAGAAATATTTTTGATCTTGTATTATTGAAATATTGCCGAATTCACAGTGAAGTGAAAACTCGAAATCATTACTTGACTTTGTAATCTTTTCTATCCAATTAAGGCGTTAAAAATGAAGAAATATTTGCTTTACAAGATTGCGCGAATAATTCTTTGTTTACTCACCGGTGAATATATCCTTATAAATCTTCATTTTGAAGGATGGAGAAAGATTTTTAAAAGCAGCTAAACTAAACAAGATACAGTCACCCTCGTAGAGTGCACCGGAAAGGAAGGAGATTCAGAGAGCGTCTGCCAACCAGTGCTGCCAGTCGGGCCGGGTTGCCCCTCTACTTAGGTTAGGTCGCGCATGCGCCTGCAATGGTAAATACAGTGTACATGTGTTATAGATGCGCAGTTTGGTGGGCCACATTAGATTGGCAGAACAGGATCAGTTGTAGCATGAGAAGATTCAAATAAGCTTATAATTTTTATTTTTTATTTGTTATTTTAATATTTTACTTTTCTTTAACTTATCCTCAAATATCTTTATTATTCAATATATGTATATGTTTACTGGGGTCCGCGCGCTCATAACACGTTATTGTGCACGATTTGTAGAGGGGATTGATTCCGACCCGACTGGCAGCACTGCTGCCAACTTGCGCACGTTAGGGCAGGCATTTATTCACCAAAGCAGCATACGCACACAACCAAGAACTGCTGCGTAAAACGCTTTGCGCAGCACATGTACGCGATCTCGGTTGTGTGCGTATGCTGCTATAATGGATAATGGCCGAGAGCACAAGCTTTTACATAAAGCATAACGCATAAGCATAAGGAAATTGATTGGTCTATATATAAGCATAAGCAAATGCATAAGGAAATGGACCAATCAATTTCCTTATGCTTATGCGTTATGCTTTATGCAAAAGTCTGTGCTCCGGCCAATAGAGTTTTCGTATAGTAGGGTTTTTCTTCAATTAGAGAACTCTGATACACGTCATTTCCGTTTGCAATGTGAGCATAGTGGTGATCTAACGCACGTGTGGAACGTAATTTTCATTCCGCTAACAAAATTTAAAAATATAGAACGTTTTAAGTAACGTTGGTGCTGGTATTCCACCGCTTATATTCATTTTTATAGATATTGTAGATTAAATATCGTAAATATGGAGAACGGTCAGAGCGAAACAAAAGTTGAAGGCTTAAACGGTGACGCCGCTAGCGAAAAGGTTACAAATGAGCCGACCGTTGATGCTGCGGACGACGCACATGCAAAAAATGTGGAAGAACCTGTGGAAAATGTGGAAGAAGCTGTGAAAAATGTGAAAGAGGCTTCTGTAGAAAATGTGGAAAACGTGGAAGAACCTTCTGCAGAACTTCTTGGAAAAATAAAAGATCAAGTAGAGGTACCGTATTTTTTTTATAATAAAATAATTTGATATTTTGTATGCCAAGTTGGAGAATGCGTCCTCATGGTGTAAAAAATTGCAAGAGTACCTATCTAAAGAGATAACAAAAAAGCGTTAATATTTTATATTTCTATTTTTTTTTTACAGTATTACTTTAGCAACGTAAATATGCAGAGAGATAAATTCCTCATTGAGCAAACAAAACTGGAAAATGGATGGATTCCAATGACCGTTATGTTAAACTTCAAGATGTTAGCTGCTCTGAGTACAAATGTCGATATAATTCTGAAAGCTCTGAAAACTAGCGACCTCATGGAGATATCGGAGGACAAGAAAAAAATACGACGCTCACCAAACCATCCTTTACCAGAATATAATGAGGAATACAGAAAGGCACAAGAAGCCAGGACAGTTTATGTTAAAGGATTTCCATTGACGGACACAACTATTGAGAAGCTGAAAGTATTTTTTGAACCATACAAGCCATATGAAACAATTGTGGTAAGTATATTTGTCCTGTATCTGAGATTATTTGAGCGTGGTATCAAAAATTTTTATAAACGTGTTCAGATTTTCTAATAATTTTCTTATTTTACAGATGAGGAAATACCAAGATAAAGATAAAACTTTTAAGTTTAAAGGGTCTGTTTTTGTACAGTTTGAAAATTTAGATAGTGCTAAAGCTTTCATGGCTGTAGAATCTATAAAATATGGAGACACTGAGTTAATAAGAAAATGGGTGTAAGTAAAAACATATTGATTGTACATATTTTATATTTTTATTTGACATTATTTATGTATAATTTTGAATATAATTTTTGTAGGGCTAATTATAATGCAGGAAAAGCACAAGAGAAGGAAGAACGCAGAAAGAAAAAATTAGAAAATAAGTTAAAGAAAACAACTGTAAGTAAGAAAAACTAAAAGACAAATCTGATTTGAATTTATTGATTTTAAATGAAGATTCTGATTTTGCTTATGATGGATTTAATGATTTTTTTTTTTAGACAGAACAAAAGGAAACTGAGGATGACGAAGAACAGACATCTACAGAATCAGATAATAAATTGCCAAAAGGTTCAGTTATTTACTTTTCCAATGCTTCTAAGACATGTACAAGGGAAGATATCAAAGAATGTCTAGACAAATTTGATGCCGATATCGCATACATTGATTATCAAAGAGGACAAACTGAAGGATGGGTACGTCTGCAGGGAGAAAATGCTGCTAAACCTTTGTTAGAAAAGACTAATGAAGGCAAGGTGAGAAGAACATTCAAAGCTTTCAGAACTTTCTTAGAATAACGATATTAAAATTATAATGTAATCCAACAAAATATTTTATATTTTAAGTTGACAATCAACGATGTTGAAATTACCTGCAAAATTCTTGAGGGTGAAGAAGAAGGGAAGTATCTTGCTAAAGCGTTGGAAGAGATGATAGCTTTGAAGAATAAATACAACAAGACGAAACGGGGTGGCAAAAAAGGTAAAACTCATATATTTTTAAGCTATTATAATTATCGCCCACTATATATCATAATGATGTGTTTGCCATGCTAATACTGAGGAATCACATATATGAAAATCATATATTTGGATTTCGCTGAGTTAAACTTGTAGAACTGAATTCTATGTAATACTATATAAAGAACGATCTTACGTCTTAGACAAAGTAGAATTAATTAATTTTTCTTGCATTCAAAGGACGTAATACGCGAGCCAGCAAGAAAAGAAACAACAGTCCTGGGCCTGTTCCAACTAAGAAGAGTAAAATAGATGCTGAATAAGAAATTCATTACTTTAAACTTCAAAAGTGGACTACATTTTCAATGTATTGACAAATTATGTTTAGAAGAGGAACGCTTGAATTATGTTTAGTATAATTTATCAGGAACTAATCTTTTGTGAATATAAGATTTTTTTTTCGTTACACCTCTTGATGTATATTACTTAACATACTTTGAAAATATACTTCGTCTATATTTGTTATACAGTTACTTCAATCATTTAATATTTCACGCTGATCGAAAGTTCAACGAATGATATGACCGATAAATAAGTCGCACACATATATATATATATATTTTTATAAATCGGCATTTATTGTTGTACAGTGAAATTTACAAATTGGTTTTCTAGGCTATAACACGTATTTAAATTTCACTGTCGTCTTACGTGCGTCGATACTATCTTCACGCAAGTATCACAACGTGTTGTCACAGATCATACCATTCGCGAACAATTACTTTGAAAAATTACACGTAATGACGTATGTACGCACTTAAAACTATCGTGGTCGACACCACGATCTTACGCGACACAAAGTCCGTGCATATTACGCTACATGGTACTTAATTACAGCTTTACGTACTTAATCGTATTGATACATATGTATAGTTTTATGCGTCCGAGGAGTCGTACGTAATCGATTAAATAAATTACCTTAGACAGTCTCACGATTTTTAATGATCTTGAAACTCGCTCATTCGTGGGACATTCTAGGTAGAAAAGATTTCGAGATTTCTTTCGTGTAGAACGACGCTTAAGTCGTTGGAAAATTCAGTTCTCAGAAGCGTCATCTGTTATTGGCTTAGTTTACACCGATTGTTTAGCACGCGTACCAAGTACTAAATCAGCTTCTTTGATTGGTGTAGATTTTACACTAAACGATTTATACCTATCGGAGAAGCAGATTGAGTATTTGGTACGCGTACTAAACAATCGGTGTAAACTAGGCCATAATATATGAATGAATTTGAGACCCATCACAATTTTAAGAATTGTAGAATATAAACAAGATGTAAACTTTTGGCAACTTTTACAGTAACAATCTATCAATGGTCGCGTCTGTGATAGTTTCCGCTTCGTAAATTGTTCTGTATGAATTTTGTCGTACTCGATACTATTGTAATATCGTATTCCATAATATCCTGAAAAGCACATCTCATTGATCGATTAAGCCGCACGCAATGACAAAGATGAACTCTCAAAACTTAATATCTGTGTGGAGTCTGGCAGTTCAATGTCGGGTCATGAATATTAATTCGAGATTAAGAACTCTCTACAAAGACAAAGTGTATCTCTACAAACACGAGCGTGATCATGTCTTAAGATACTTGGTCATGGAAGAGAGAGAACTCTATATGAGTCTTCGACAGCTTTAATTCTACTTTAAAAGGAATTATTTTTCCCGCCGTTTTATCGCTTACATTGTTGAGCAGGTATAAGTACTTGATTTCAGCGGTGATCTCAGTTCGGAAAGGCCGCGTATAAAGGACTTATCAATATTGTTTATAAGCTTTGCCTCAAAAGAATTCAAGTGTTTCAAGCAGGCTCGTGCAATGTATCGCAGATCTTCATACAAACAATCTTGACTTAAAATTAAAAATTTCGTAATTTACAAAAATAAGAAGAACCAACAATAGCACAAAAATAATTCAATGTTTCACACATGGATAAATTATTAATTATATTCAATTCAATACTTAATTTTCTCTTCTAATGCCATTACTTCAACAATGCTTGTGTCGATTCGTACACACAGTTCCGTTTATCGAGATGGAGAAATATACACGTTGTATGAGTTGGCAGAGTTTCGAGGCTCACATGCGAAAATCGCAAGAGAAAATTGTTTTACGCCTATATTATTAGATCATTCCAGCCAATTTTCGTAGCGATACAATACTTATGACTGTCGGACTACTCTCTATGAGAAGAACACTTGAAGAACACTCAGCGGAGGGCCGAATCCGTCCTCTCGAAAATCACGTCGGTTCTAGCTAGTGGCTGCACGACTTAACGTTGTCGAATATACTCGCGATTGTGCACTTCCGCGACGGCCAGATAATCGCACTTTCCGCCCGAGTAAATTTCGCGAGCACTCACGAGCGCTATATTAAGTTGTCCTCTTCAACAAAATCGAAACTACCCACTTTGAAAGATGCTCCAAATAGCTCGCAGCAGCTTAGCTGTGTATCGCAGTCTTACAAGCAAGAACGAGTGCACTTTCACTCACGAATGGAGCTTTTGTACACCGTTGTCGTGTCCTGCTCGCGAATATCGACCGTTTAGCGTGACCGATCCGTTTGATCCGTTTCGAGTCGAGTGTCTCTTCCTTCCAATCAATGCTTCACAAAGCAGGCGATCGTATACGTGACTTTGGTATTCCGATCGCTTCAAGATCTCTCAAACCGGAGCCGTCGTCGGAAATTACCGTCCATTGATCCGTACACGATATTCTTATACGGATCCACGTTCAATTGCTTTTTAGCTGAGATATTCTCGAATCCGCGCATTACAAAGTTCAATTACACGTTTTGTTCCAATAATTTTTTCACCAAGCGCCCCTCCTTGTAATATCGAGGATATCGATACGCTTCCTTTATGTGTTGTAATGATATACTTAAGGCCACCTATTTTCCGCGGTCTCCAAAGGTATCAGGATTTATTCCGATGAATCAAATGACCAGGAAACGTCGCATCGATATCTTCGATTACAATAAAAATTCCTTAAATAGAATTATTCCTTGAGCACTTGATATATACTTAATCTGGTCACGATGGGGGTACTTTAGCGATTGTTATATTTTCCTAAAAACAGCAGAGAATACCTCGCTTCCTTATATAATTAGAAACTACGTACAATTCACGTTTCTATCAGTAGTAACGACCACGTGCAAATCTTACGTTTCTACCAGTGGAAAAAACCAGCCACAATATCGCCTAAGTAATAATAATCAGAGGTGCAGTCCGGCAATAACAGTTCAGTAGTACGCTCGCGTTGTGGTCAGCCATGTTCGTGGCACTGTAAGTGGTAGGAGTCGGTGCTAATAATCGTCGATTTTCAATAGTAACTCTCTCGTATGGTCCGACACGTAATCTCAACCGTAATTAGAGTGCTCGAAGTTACAATTTGTGCACGATATAGACACCGTATGAGATTTATAAGTTTTTTTTGTTCGCTGATTCGAGTCGTATTCGCAAAGTTCCCTTCATCATCCAGTCGGCACTGTCCATCGGTCCGTGGATCAAACAAGGGAACACCACTCAGAACCTGGACTCCGCGGTGACCCTCTCCGCGTCCACGAAGGTCACTCGCTTCGTCCGCGAGTTGCCCTCTGGGGGCAACCCCTAATGCTATACGGATATCTCTTGTATCTGCACGCGTTTCTTGATGGTGTTGGTGTTGCCGGTGCTGAGCGAGCTGGTGGTCCTGGCGGGCGGTTTCGGCGGCATCGCGTCCTTGTGAATATTACTGCTGGTCCCGTGACTAGATCTCGGTTCCTTCCTCGACTGCTCGCAGTCCTGGCCATCCTGCGCCAGCTGCTGCTGCTCCTGGATGGAGGGACTTCTCGCGAGGGTAGTGTACGAAGGGGGTGGCTCCTGAGTGGATCGCGGGTTCTCGGAGGGCTTCATGGCCGTCCTGGTGGTCATCGGCAGTGACTCCTGGCCGTTCGGCCTGCAGTCCATGGCGGCGCGCTTTTGTCGCGATCCCGCTGATAATAGATACCGGCGAAGATGAGCATGTTGAGCACGAGAAGGATGCAACCGACGCCCACGGTGATCGCGAGGGCGGTGGTCGTGCTGTAGTAATGGCGGGACGCCAATCTCTGCAGCAGCTCCGCGTCGTCCTCGGAGTCGTCCAGAATCGGAGTGATGTCCTCGATAAGGCTGTCGTCTCCCGTGGACGTGCTGCAGGCGGTGGTCGAGGAAGAGCTGGCCCGAGTGGTGCCTGTCAGCGGCAGTGGCGTGTACCATTCATCTCGGACTGGTCCTGAATAGCAGAAGTGAAGGATCAATTTATCATGCGGGAGAGCGGAGTCAACTTTCTTTCCGCGCGAAAAGCACGATCGTACCTGCGTAATAATGATCGCCTCGTTCCCGGAAATGATGATGCCGCATGGAGACATCGTCGTCGCCAGGACGATGGAGCTGCGGTATCAAGTTAAGCCATACGGCCATTTTATGACCGCGATAATGACTCTTCATCTTCGGCTTCAGTGCTGAAAAAAAAGTGTACGATAAAAAATAAAATTTGACGCAAAGAGAATTCGATCGAAAACGCCCCGCGTCTTCGACAATTATTTGCTAATTGATTAAGGTTTATTTGTTGTGCGTTATTTAACCACAAATGTTATGCGAATTTGAACAGCGTATTATGTTGTGAATAGTAAACACCAATTGCAATTTAATTGCGATCATTAGACGCATTAAAATATCCATTTACATAATTGTTCCCGGGGAATCATTTCGCATTTCGCAGCGAAGAGAATTTCACGTTACACGTAATTAAACTTTTCAGAGAACTTTTAAAAAACATAAAGGTAGGACAGGGAGCGGACACGGTACAGCGGACTACATAGAATCAAACTTTCGAGGGAACTTTTGAGGGAATTTACGGAAAGGTCGCGATATTCTCTTCGCGAGAAACGGACGGGGCTTTGTGGAAATTAAATTTATCGAAAAATAACTCGTTTCAAGCTTTCGGCGTACCTATCGTGAGATACTGCTGAGAGCCTGTCTCATATTGTTCCCATGTGAGACCGCGGAAGCGCGTCTTCTCCTTCGGCGTGCCATAGTCGACCGACTCGATCTTGTGCGGCTCGTTCGGGTTGCCGGTCTTGGCGAAATTGGTGAAGAAGGTGAGGACGGCCTCCGCAACGCCCTGGTCTTGTCGGGAATAATTCCGCGGGAAGAAAGCCCCGCCTGCCACTAGCGGCAGCCCGAAAATGTACGGTATGTCTTCGCCACGGACGCTCCCCAGACGCTGCAATGAGATTTCCCACTTGAGAATCGCCAATATCGCCCGTGCGATCGATAATTGCGGGCTACTCCTTCGTACATTCGGCAGCCGCAATATTCATATTCGCGCGATGCTCTAACAATATTTGGCAATTACATAATTTATAATAGAACAGTTTTTCCATCGACTTATTCCACTTGTAAATATTTGATTTGTCTAATTATTAGAATAATTAATTATCGATTACCAATTATCGGTAATGGACAGTGCGGGTGTTAATTAATAAAACTGATATAATAAAACTAGAAATTATGTACGCCGCTTCGAGTGCTCTCCACGTGACCTAGATATCGCCTCGTAATATCCGACAGCGAAATTTTTCATCGTGTTTGCGTGGAATGGCACTTGGTATATTATTTCCCAATTCCCATTAGCACGCGTGAAATGCGAGAAAGAAAGAATGCCCGAAGGGGAGCCGCGGCGGGCGGAACGCCGGCGATTAACAATTCAAATAAATTCATCGCATTTGCATTCAGTGTTCTTGATATCGCTTTCTTATCTCTGTTTGGCGCGCCTTTTTCTGCCTTTGTCTCGCTTAATTCGCTTCCTTCCTTCCCGCTGTGTGCGTCTGCGAACCTGTTCGAATAACGATGACGCTTTGATTGCGCATTAATATCTGAAATGATAATGATCACCGGTGGAACGCCAAGTTAGCGAAGATTTCTTTCGTTTTGGCGCTTAATTAAAGCTCCACATTGCGCACACGCGAATAATACTCGATGATACTCCGAAACGTGGCACTGCGAAAGTGCACTTGTATTTGTCCACTTGGCCCGGCGGGATTAAACAACTTCTGGGGATAGCACGATACGTTAACGCCAACTTCCGTATTTCTACATGTGTTTCTAAATGCCGGACAAACATCGCGCGGCCATTTCTGTACGTGTTTCCGCAGATTTCGCTCGTTCCCGAGTATCGGGCGGACGGACGGAGAGCCGCCGTAGCTCTCCTCCCCTTTTCGCCAAATTGAAAACGTCAATCTGTTTTTTCCCAAGTCGCGAGCTTAATGCACCGCTTGGCAGCGACCTTACAAATTGACCGATATAACAATTTCTTTCTTGTCCTCTCGATATTATTATGTCAAGCGTGACAAATCTCCGTCATTCACGAGACAAAATGCGAACGTGGCGCGGCCGGGTCGCCCCGGGCGTTTTATTAAATCAGTGTCTTCATCGTGAAGTCATGGCCAGCGGTTACCAGCGGCTCTGTATAGATCGTGCGCGGAGCAGAGTGAGACGAATGAGAGAGTACGGAGAGGGGACGTAGGATCGAGAGAGCGTGTCAAGAAGGGGGTGGGGGGGGGGGTTGGACGGGTTGCTTCCTTAACTGAGAGTGCCGACGGACTACTAGGTGTCGAGAGCGAACGTTAGTCTCTCTTCGGGACGTCACGTTAATAGAGTTAACTCAGACTTAAGCAGCGCCCCCGCCCCTTCTGCTTACCCGCACCGTCGTGCGCTATTCGTTCGTGGTGTGCGAACGTGGGACCACATCGTTTCGGGAATGGCGAAAAATCGATGCAGCACTTATTCGCGAACGTTTCCGTATCGACAGCGCTAAATTGCGTAATTTCTCGCCATCATTATGTGCTGCTGCTGAGAATTTTTCTTTGGAGATTTTCGACGCCCTCATTTGTCGTCATTAACTGTTATTCGAAAAAAAATCGATGCTTCGCGTATTTCGTTTTCCTATCGGCAGCGCTAAATCGTGTAATTTCTTGCTACCATTATGTACCGCCGTTAATTTTCGTTTGGAGATTTTCTACGCTCCTCCTTAAGTTGTATTGAAAAATTGCCGTTAAAAAGAAAACAAACTTGCTGCGATTCTATAATTATATTTCTTCGCATCAAAGAATTTATTGTAAGTTGAAAAAAATCCAAGGAACTTTGCAAAAATTCTTCAAGAATAAAATTGCTGCGATTCTATAATTTATTATACTTTTCTGCGTTAAGAAATTTCGCATCATAAAAAAAAATCTCGAAAACTTTGCATACAAAGATCGAGCTATTCAAGAATAAAATCGCCGTAATTCCATAATTATATTTTTCTCGCGCTACTCCGCAAAATTTAGGCAAATTTAGTCTCGGCAATGGCCGACTTACTTGCAGATAGCCGCTCTCCTTGGACTGATGATTGAAGTGATAGAAGTACGTTTTGGCTCCTCGCCGGGCGTGATAGAAGGCGACTCGCATGAGCGGCGCGACCGTGTGACCATCGCTCAACGCCTCCATAGTCGAATCCCGTATTATGATGGGATGAAGCACCGGCTTATCCCAGTCCGTGTACTCGTTTCTCACCGCCGAGAAGATCTCGTTCAGATGGTAGACGTAGGCGTTACGGATGAAGGTGCGCAAAATACGATTGCGGTGATCCTCCTCGAAGCCGAACTGTATGTCGTTGGCGTTGAAATCGAGATTGGACTCGGTCGTGGAGACGCCCAGGATCAGCGGCACCTTGATGAACGCGTCGCTCGCGCGCTCCATGTCCAGGCCCGGATCGGGATTGTTTTGGTCCACCGGCAGACCCGGCCCGACGCGAGGCACGAATCTGGAAACGGAGACACCCGATTTCACACACTCGCCACACACACGCTCGCCGCCGTGCGTGGCGCGTGTTTTTGGCGCGAATGAATCAATATAATAAAGGTATTAAATCAATAAGAGCTATTAACCCGACGCGATCTGATTGTAATCCGATAATAATTCAACACGCGCCGCTGATTATCCTGCAATTAGTAATATCGCAGGTTCATTTCGACCTCACGGTAAATTCGCGAATGAGCTGGCGGACGTAATGTTAATCCTGCGAGCGATTGCGAATGGCGCAAATGTCGGCTAAAGTCTGATTTAGCTTGAGATTTTTCGCGACCCTCTTCTCTAGATCCTCGTATTTTACGTCTGAAAAGTGCAAACGTTCGACGCGGCAAAATATGGGAGGAATTCGATCATCGCCGTGCAATTTTTTGATATGTTCATCATAATTTATTACAACCAAACACCCTCGTAAAATTATTATAAATTTAGCGCAATAATTACAGCTCGTACGTTCGGTCAGATGTCATTTTTGAACGTATCAATCATAACTTTTGAATTTTTCACATGCCAGCATTTTCCACTTTTCATCGAAATGCGTAGCGCCAATATTCAAGCGATGAATATGAATCCTCGCGATACGTATGGCAAACGCGTATCCGCGGCAATATTTATTACGTCGACATGCTGCCATAAATAAAAAGATGAAAAAGAGATATCAATTCCATCTGTATCAATTTTGCAATACATATTTTATTGCTTTAATTTTCTCGGCGATCCGATAAAAAATTACTCGGCCGGAATGAGTACCTCTTGCAGCAGCCGCTCACCTGATTTCCGGAAGTTGCACGTCCATCAAGGTTTTCAGCGGTACGCCGCGGAGGCAGTCGGCGATGTCCTCGTCGCCCTCGATCGCGCAGCCCATTTGCTCGCCGATTTTCGTCCTGAGGTCGTTCGGATCGTGCACCGAGGCCCAGGGACTTAGTGCCGAGCCGCTGGATAACACTACACGGTGAAATAATCCTACGGAAGGGAGGGGAGGAGAAGAACAGACGGTTTAGCGCTCACACAGGACCGAGGTACAGGCGCGCGGAGAATCCCTTTGCGGCACTAAGCTCGCCGTGACCGTATATATCGAATGCACAGCGAATACGGCGGGATATCATCAGTTTCCGGCCGATCGAGCGGAAGCGATGAGCCCGACGGGAGTTACCCCAAACGATTATTATCCTCGCGTGGATAATTAGAGGCACACGTAAATATGATCGCGCCACGCCACCGCGCGGAAATTGTTTTTTGCGTGGAGCGCTGAAAATGCCGGTAAATCGGAGCGTGAACGCGATTATCAAACGATTAAAAACTGTTACACGAATCGCAGTTAAATTAGTTGTTATCGACGGAGAGGAGGGAGCGGAAACAGCGTTAAGTAATTTTTAATAAAGCCGATCGGCTGTAAACAGAAATTTTCTAGACAGTATAATTAACGTCGCACTCCGTTTTAATGACCATTGCGACGTTAAAATGCGAGAAATCACGCGTGCGCGCTGAAATTCATGGCGATTGAAGGGGAGTGCTGCGAGGGGGATGTCATTAATCTAGCTTTTAACGAGCTGAATTTTTATGACGTAACGCGGTAAAAGATTTTTAAACGGAGCGCAATATCGCATCTGACGGTATCGTGTATTCCAGGTCCGAACTGAAAAATCATATTCGCCGGCAAACATTTATGCTGACGCTAAAGTCGTTTATCGAACGTCATTGGTTTTCTTTATGAAAATCGCTATTTCGAATGCAAACATCGTGGGTACACGCGTGCGCGAAACGCGCTCGTCCTGCGGCGCGATGAGAAATATTACGCAATATGTGTCCAACATAAACATTCGCGTATCGTTGATGCGCGGTACAAATATTTGTATTTTATGACTTTACACACACTCGACACTCGTACGCACACGTTTAATTTCTCGAAAGTAATATTCGCGCGCGCGCTCGCTCGAGATATAAATCGCACGCGGTCTGAGCAGCGCCGCGCGCTAGCGATGGTATCTTTCGACCGGCGTTTTATCATCCACGGTTTTCCATTATAGCGGAAAAAAATATCCAAATCAAACAAATCAAGATTATTAAGTTGTTTGACATTTTTCCGAGCTCTCCCCGTGGGCGAGTTGGCAATTTTAATCTACCGACCACAAACTCCAATATTCTGTTTTCCCTCTTTCCGTCCCGCTTTGTAAAAAATACAAATATATCATTATTGAGATATTATTATCACTCCATTGGCATTCATAGAAATGTGCGGAGCACGGTATTTCCGCCGCCAACTACTTAGGAAACATCACCTCATTATATTAAGTCGGTTCGCCGCGGCCGGCGGCGCGGCACTATTCCAAAACAGCGGATCGCGGATGCATTTAACGCGGGGATTCCGCTGCCAACGAGCCGTAAAACCGAGAAAAGAAGTCGCGGAAGAAGAGTCGCGCGCCGGCGTCGAGGGGCAAGGGACTCTCCCGCCGCCGTGTCATATGGCCACAGTTTCATTTCCGCGACGGGTGCACTCGCGGTACCGCGCGTACGCGGTGACCCGTGGGCGCTCCTTTTGGCTGCTTTATCGCCATTATTATTAAGAGGTGCCGCCTGACGCGCGCCATCCTCCCTCTGGATGGTTGCCAGTGGCGCGCGATATGTCGCACTAATCTCATCTATATACAGGATGAGCCGGAAGAGAAAGAAAACCGATGAATTTACAAATTGGGCGATTAATTTTCAGCGAGAAACATCGACGATGATCTACAACATCTCGATAATTGTCATCGATATCGATTGGCGTTATCTTTATAATGTGTATTCATCGACAAAGTACTCGCGTTCATTCCTCAATCACTCTCTGGATAACTGATAGCGGGCCAATTACCCCGACCGCGGCTCTCCTCTCGTGCCAGAGCACGATGCGGAACGTCCATTTTGCTGTTCGACGTTTCGGTTGACGTCGATCGCGCTCGTATCGTGCCACTGATGATAGACACCGTTCCTTCCTTTATTTCTGCGAGGCACGTTTCATGCGGATCATGCGGCAACGAAGGACTCGATTTATTCGCTTCGATAGCATCGCATTGATCCCCCGCGTCACGGATTGACTATTGCACGTCGCTCCGATATGCGCGCCGATATTCGCGACAGAAGCTCGAGCTTCGATTCGGATTTTCCTTTGCCCGCGCAATTTAATGACGCGCCGTTAAACCTCTTCGTGGAGGGGGGAAAAAAAGAGTTTCTTTATTGATTCACCGACGTAGCGTGTTCTGATTTTCAGATAGAGGAGGATTTATTTATTTTTATTTGAAAACCAAATTGCGCCCGCCGGCCGCGAAAATAAACGGCTTCGCCTCCTCCGCCCCGAATTTCACCCCGTCTCTCCTTTCTCGTCCCGCGATTACTTCATTTTTCATCCGATTCCGCGCGAGCTATTACAGCTTGTACTTTTGGAAACGCGTATTAATAAATGTTGCGGAAGAAATACGGATCGCCATTTCTACGAGTGTCCGGGGGGCAGTCAGCGGTCGCCGCGCCTTCCATCCCCAGACGACATTAGCGTCGCCAGGGTTAACGCCCTTAAACTGTCACGTTAAACCGCGATATTTCACCCGGTGCTCTGCCCGGTCACCCTACCCCGTCCGCTCCCGTCGTTTCGCAACTAGCCTCGTTCCGCCAGCCAGCTACCATAATTCCTCCACAATGTCATGTCCACGATACGTGGGGTGTCGCGTCGCGTCGATGAAATTTCGGCGGCGGCGGCGGCGGCATCGAGGGGGTCCAGCCCATTCGGCGGCAGCCATTCGGTCTCTCCTTCACCCGGTCTCTCATCATAGCGCAATCATCGACTTCATCTCGCGCCAGCACCGGCGACCGCCGCTCGGCGTCGAGGCGCCGGCCGGTCCGCGCGAGACAAGGCGGACAAAATTGGTAATGACGATGTTTACGATAGAAAAAAAAAAAAAACAACGAATAACCGGCTTTTCTTATCGGGTGTGACGGAACAAAGGAGGGGGAAAAACGAAGGGGGGCCAGAAGACGCGCGCGGCGGCGGAGGCGCGGAAATTGTATACTTTTCGTTAGCGAAGCGGCGAAAGATTAAAGGCAAACAAGAAACAACGGCGCGTGACGGCGGTAATCAGGCCGGCTTAGCGTTCGGGGATGGATTTTGCCAGCGCCGAGTGCTCAGCCGACGGCGGGCGGGCTGATCGTCGTCCGGGAGCGCGGTACACCGCGCATCGGTGACCAATCGGGACCTCTCGATGACACGGTAATGCGTACACTCGGTCTCGCGCTGCGCAATACCCGCGACTTTAGCTAGGATTTTTCTCGAATTTCCGGCCAGCCACACTGCCGGCTCTCTCCCTTTTTCTCTGTCCGCGGGATTCGTGAAAATTCTACAACGGTCGAGGAGAGAGTTAAATCCGGTTGTTCCAAATTTTTGACGAGCCCGCGAAATGTCATAGGTACGCGAATACACGTTTCGCTCATTTTTATGAAAAAAGAAATAGATGTATTTCGACTCGTATGAGCTCGAATCGAACTTTCCAATAGCAAACGAGAGTGGGTTTTGTGCGAAATACCGCTGCGCGGAAAGAGAGAAGATACGAATGCAAGTGATTTTTATTTTTTATGATTTTTTTTTTAAAGGTTTGATTTCCCAGCGTTCGTTAAATGGGATAAAAAATAATGGTCCGAAAAGACGTGGCCGGGTTTTTTTTTCGGATATTTCGTCGGGGTTGAAAAAAATTGGGCGTTTATCATGCACACGGGGATCGTGCAATATTCGCGCAGTGGTATTCGGCAATGTCGCATCTTCCGCCGAAATGGAGCACGTTATGAACGATGCGTTCGTCTGCGGAGCGTTAATTCATCAAGTATCATAATTTTTGTCACAGGAACGCTATTACCCGCGAATGAAAGCAGTGTGTTTTCGCCCCAAGAAAAAAAGTGTTTGCAATTGCACCGGTTTCGCAGACGTGAATTCCCATCCAAACCGGGAAAAAATTTTATTCAGACGGCGCGCAAATTACGCTTTGAAAGGAAGCGGCAGCGCAATATGGCAGTTCTAATTTATTTTCTACGTTCACGCTTTCACGAGCAGACACCCGTGAAACGGAATGTCCGTCTACTTACTTCGCGACCTTCCTCAAGATCGTATCCTTTACCGGAACATATTCTCTCTCACGGCTCCCCTCGCCTTCCCGTATGATGGTTCAGTCGACATTTCGCATGTAAATTACTTCGCGCGTCTCGTGAAAATTCTACGAACACGTACGTCGGGCCTTCGGGACCGATATACCGATTGAATTAAGTTTGAATGCACAAGTATGTACACTTTTGTCGCGTTCAACGTTCAAATTGCTCGATACTTTAGCCGCTAATTAAATCTCCTTACGTTAAATTTTCATTTTTTTTTTCCAATTCAGCTGAGAAGAAAATCGTTTTCATTAAAGTTTAAAAAGAAGTTAATGAGAATTTTATTCAAAAGAGCGAAAATGCGGTAAATAAATTTTGATTCATATTCTAACACTTTGTATCGTTTGAATTATACGCTAGCGTAACATATTTGAGAGCCGAGGAAAATTATGGCAGTTATTGTGCCGGTTAATAATTCAATAATTCGTGAAAATTCCTTAATAGCGTTACATCGAAATTTCGAGCGTTAGCAGCCTATCAAAAAACGATTTTGCCGATCGCAGAGATGATAGAGTAACACGCCAAAATCAATTCCGCATCCGACGATTGTGCACGGACCAATAACGACGCGGTTCTCGAAAATCCGAAACGGTCTCTCTTTTTTTTTTTTGTAACGTTACCGGGGTGTTTCTCTCCCCAGTTATTTTTGTCGGTAACGAACTGCAAAATAGAACGAAGGGGGTGTGCGCGAAACGGAAGACGCAGAGGTGGAAACGCTGTTTGCAAGCTATTTTTATGACTTATTGTTACGCTTCGTATTGCGTGGTGCTTGGCCTTTCTCGCCGTATATTCCTCCGAGAGACTCCGAAAATCCAATACACATATTTCTAATCATAATAAATTTTGATAATAAATTTTGCACGAACATCTCACAATGACTTCTCAAAGCGCTGACGCATTTGACAAATTTGAAAGATAAAAGAGATAAGTATTGTTTCGCGGAAAAATTTACAGAATGAAATAACTTCGATAAGCTTTTCTCCTTTGCGCCGCCGCACTGATCCGCCGAAGCTTGATTTATCCGCGAGCTTTTCGCGCGGGATGTTTTCGGAAAATAAAATATCCTCTCGGTCTTTGCGTCTATCCTTGCATTCGTGCAAACATAATTCGCTGGTGACGCTCGAGTTACCGCGAGATAACCGTGGGCGTCTTATACATCTCGAGGTGCAGCGAATCAGACAATTGCCAGGAATCACACTCGGTTGCCTCCTTGATTACTCACGAAGCCAATCGCTCGTATCTCTGGTCCGTGAGAACCGTGAAACTGCCGCAGGAACGGACGCGACGGTAGAGAGAAGTAGCTCTAGAGCAGAAGCGATGTTGTCTTGGACCAAGGATTGGAAAATCCGCACACAGATGCACGGACACATGCGCGCGCGTAGAGTGGAAGACGTTGCAAGGCGTGCTGCACGCCCGGGTCTTCGCTCATAAAAAATTACAGCGGGGGGGGGGGGAGAAACGATAAATCGAGACTGTCTCCCCGCGCCATGAGAAGCTTATTTCTCTTGTCTCTTCCCGGGCGATGATACGTAACGTCGACAGTCTTCTCGGGATTGAGAAGGGGAGGCGGGGAAGCCGCGCCCGTACCACCCCTGGGAGAAGCAGAAGAAGTGACTTTCTGAATTATACGAGAGATCGATGTAATACGAAACGTTTATGTCTTCGGCGGAACCCCAGACCGGAGGTAGAGCGCGGTCTTCATTTATCATCGGACATCGAAATCCCGCCGGCGAGGGCAGACAGCAGCGGCGGAAAAGCAATCGACGGCTAGTTATCGACGAGGAGCAAACTGATCGTTTGCAAGCTTTTTACGCGACCCCAGACGAGGCTATTAACGATCACGTTGCAATTGTACAACGGTGCCCGACAAAGTGCGGGCGCAAAACAAAAAGCGGATCCGCGCAGAAGCCGCGAGAATGATACCGCGAAAATTCCGTCGGAAATCGATGTAATCGCGCGAAGCGATTTCACTCACCGCCCCGAAGTTGGCTTTAATCCGGAACTTTATCACAGGGCTCTCTATTTTAATCGTCGGCTATAACATCGCGATAGTGTATCGCATTTCCGCGTTATGCTACCTCGCACACATAACCGCACATCATGACATATAGAAATCTATTAATATTTTCGTAGCGCCACGACCACCTAACGGCAACTCTCATCGACACTTCTCCATTCATTCCACTGAGTTTGCCGTTAACTTTGCATAGCCTTACGTCCCCAATCGACCGAGACCCGAGAGCTGCATTTCGCTGCAATATTAAGCGACCGCATACGATGCATTTATCCGTCGAAGAAGCTCGTCGCGATAAGTACAAGAATAAATTTTCGCGAGATGTCGTTTCGCCTTCAACGACAACGCGGATTCTCCATGCTGACTTCTCCGAGAGATTCCGAAAAAAATATTTCTTAAATATATTTTCAATCGTATGAAGGGAGACTTGTATTCAAAAATTCCTCTCTTAACGGAGCTCGAATTAAAGCTTGATGTATTTGTTGCCGCTTCCCTCGCAACTCCTCTTTCGCGCGCATTTCCTCCTCCTTCGAGAGAGAGAGAGAGAGAGCGCGCGTTCTGCCGTCCCCGCCTGCAATCTCAGACCGGCAGCAAGAAGTGCGGAACCGCACCTGGTCTCGCGAAAACCACCGGCAGCGCACCGACGTCGGAATCGAAGGAGCGGAAAGTGTGGTAAAGGGGAAAAACCGACGACCTCGGCGGCGTCCGGAACGCCGAAGAAAAGCGGTTGCCCCGAGGGCTTTTCCGCTCCCTCTCCCGCTCCAAGGAGTCACGGGAGGAAGGAGAGGCGTGCGGAAGGCACAACCGAGAGCGATGCTCTCCTCGAGATGTAAACTGTTTGCGCTGTTTCCGGTACAACCGGAGGTCCGGGAAATGGCCAGACGGGAGAGTAGATCCGGCCGACCGCTACTCTCCCCCCCCCCTCTCCATCCACCTCTTCCTTTCCCACCGTCGCTTGTCCTTCGCATTGCCCTTCTTAGCGTTCGTTCCGCTTGTCTGAACGGCTATTTACGTTTTCGGCTTTCCGCACTGACGTACGAATGCACACTTGACGGTGACATTTGCCGGAATCGAGATTGAAAAGTTTCCCCCGATAGAAACGGAATTGCTATTCATCACCGGTCCCGTCAAAGTCAAATTTAATCTTGCTCATAATTGTGATTCGATTGCGTTCGAACAAAATGATCACTTTTGTGATAACATTTTTTCAAACAAATATTCAGTTATTTTATGATTTCTGCGGTAAAAACACGCATGTAACGCGATAAACAATGATTAAACCGCGATGAGGTGAAAAATCGCCGTGTGACATTTGCTTTGAAATACATTATTTAGGCGGGTACGCGCGGTTCAAGCGTGCCAAATTGGGTGAATTCAGAGGAGAATGTCGACCGTCAATTACGGCGAAGCGTATCAGGACGATTCCTCACGCGCGCGCGCACTGTTAGTCATAATTCGCCTGATTGGCGCGGAATTAGCGTCCAACTATATCACACCGTAATCACATTCGCGCGGATTTATCGCACGGCGATGTGTTTACGACGCTTTTAGCGTCCCACGCTTTTGTTCCTCGCGCGGCTGCGACGAGGCGCAGTTCCCGGGACCATGCATTTTTATTATTGCGCAATTTTCGCCGCGCGTTTCCCGCCCGAGTAAGCCGTCCTGCGACAGATCCTGCCACCACCTGAAGGACAAAAGCCGGGGGGAGCGCGTTCAATTTCAACCGGTGTTGTCCAGCGACGAGATAAAAAGGAAAGAAAGACCCGCCTCTCGCTCCCTTCCCTCATCGAATAAAATGGAGTCCTGCAATTTGTCACCCGGGGCACGGATCAATGGGTGATGTTTTTTTGAGAGGACGGACCAACCCTTCGGTTGTCTCCTCCACGAGACCCTTGCCAACTAATCCCCGGACGATTAATCTACCGCACGTCCTGCAAATAGCGTCTCCGCTATTTCTACCTGAAGGTTATTTCGCCGCTGCGGT